CACCCCCGCCCGTGACGGATGGGCGCGCGCGCTGTAAGGCCGCTGTATCGAATGTGGCTGAGAGCCGCAATTAGGTCGCGGAGCAGCGCCGCGCCGTGACCGTGATAAGCTGCTCCTGAGCCTCCACGGGGGAGCGGAGGAGCTGCTCCCACACCACCAACAACCATAACAGTCTCTCTCTCTCCTTGACTGTCTCTCTCTGTCTCCTATTCGAGTAAGAGATCTCCCATCCCGCGACACCGTTTTTGCCGTAATATCTTAATCAGAGCGAGACACCCGCCGCCGGGGCGCTTTATGGTGAGCGTGCGAGTCGCGTGGCGGCAAAGCGCGACCGAAAGAACGCAAGAGCGGCAACAAGAAAAGGCGAAAATAGGTTTGACAACATTAATTTATATAATATTTAACAAAATCAACGTGAAACTTTAGTTCAACATAAGCAACATACTTTGTCGTTACATGTTGATCACTGTAAAAAAACCACTGGAAACTGATTGGTGTCCTATAAAAGACCGCCAGCAATTTATGTTTACTGCCATATAGCTGGGAATGTTCTGGCAGCAAAATATTTTATCCCTCGTGCGCAAAACCACAAAACGAAGTCCTCTGGGAATTTTTAAAGGCGGTTGTCACTGAATCTTAGTGATGTCCCTTAGAAATTTCTAAGAGTGAATTATGCAAAACGATCCAACGCACAGTGTCGGTTTTGATTTTCCATCTGACGTATTATGAAGAAAGAACGAGTTTTCTGAAGTGGCGTGCCCGACTCACACCTGAGACCCGAGTCATGAGTGACATCAGTCCGAAACAAACACATACAAATGCACACACATCCCCATATACACACTCCAACATCAACCCACAGACACACGGCCCCCTACACACACAAACATTCCCTTCGTAGCCTCCCGCCGCGCCCCGCCCTGTCAGTCACGAATCACGCGAGTCATTTAACTCGGCGGCACTACACGAGATCGCCGCGCCCAGCCCCACCACGCGAGGGGATAGTAGAGCATATTGTCGAGATCAGCAGACTATCTTTCTTTCTGGTCGAACTCTCGGCTCCCCTTCCCGGCCGGTCCGGTCGAGTCGACAACCCCACAACGGGGCCGCGCGGGAAAAGCACACCCAAAAGATGGCAAGAAAGTAACAAGTGACAATCTGACAAAAAATTTATATAGTAACAGCACTAAAAGAAAGACGTCATTGCGTTTTAAAAATAACCAACAGACCAAACTTAACTGTGTTGAATATGAAGGGACAGTCTCACAGAGCAGTGAGCTTAAAGGGCTTAAGGTGCTGGATCACGCTTTTGCAGAGGTGTGTTCTGCTTGTGAGTTGAACGCCTTTCTAAAGCCACCAAATATTCCCTACGAGCACTAAATTTTACTAACTTAAACAGTTTCGAATGCTTTTGTAAAGGCACCCAAGTCTCAACATCTTTGATAGGCACTGAGGCCATGACACCGTACGAAGGCACTAAACCCCTCAACACCTTATAAAAGTGCTAAACCCTTAAATAACTAAGAAGACACTAAACCCTCAGCGCCTTATAAAGGTGCGCCTTAACCCCATAAGCGGCCCATAAGCGCGCGTGCCCCCGCGCAACAAAAGGCGCCCGCCGACAATGAAGGAAGTGACAAAATTTCTGGATTATGGTGTGCGATGCTCAAGGTCCTCCCTCCTCACAGTTACTACCCCTCCCGGCCCAGTACCAGCACAAAAGGGCGGCTGCTGGGCGAGGCGTGTGGGGGAGGCGTGGGGGAGGCGTGGGGGCTGGGGGCGGCCGTGGGGGCGGCCCAGCCCGGCCCGCCGCACGCCCGCGCGGCACACAGTAGCTGCTGCTCGCGCATCATGTCTAGGCAACCAACAACTCCATTATCTGACAGCCATTGTTGCGACAAAGTTATTTATGGAGCCCGCGAGTCAACTCTCTGCCGCTGCTGCCTCCGCGCCTCCACCACACCACCCCCGTGGCGCTCCCACCCCCCAACCAGTCCCGACGCCGCTCCTCTGCCTGACTCTGACTTTCTCACTCTACTCTCTCTCTCTCTCTCTCTCTCTCTTCTCTAGACTCGCCCTTGTGTCGGCTCTTTCTTCTACACCCCCTCTCGCCTTCCTCGAACCCCTTTCCTTCACCTCAGTCCTTTCTGTTCGAGCCAGTCCTCTCAGTTGTCTATCTCTCCTTTTCCCCTTTCTCCCATTCTCTCTCCCTCCTCCACTCTCCTCTCTCCTTGTCCATTCCCATCCACGCCTTGCACGCATGCCTGCTCTGCCCTTGGAAAGGTCTGCCCATGTGCCGTGCCTCCTCCATCTCTTCCTCTCCCCTGCAAAAGCACTAACAAGCGCTAACAAGTGCCAAAAGGAGAACATTTGAAGGGCAGTTCGTTAACGCCTTTAAAGGGCATTAGATAGCATCTTACTGTTTACTGCGACGTTATTCCAGTATTACTTGAGTTTTGAGTCGCGCTCTTCTGTTCAAAGCACGCAGCACAGAGGCTTTGCACTTCGCGGCTTGCGACAGATCGCGCCCTTTTTAGTAATTTTGGCGTGGAATCACTTCGTCGGTGTGGGCTTGCCACCAGCGACTGTGTGGCCTCGTCCACTCCTGCATTCAAGTCTCTGCGCGACTTCTGAACAACTTGTTAACACTGAATCTTAGAATTCCTAGAGGATAATTCTAACCATTCATGTTGTATTCTGTCGTACTGTTACAACATGTTATTTAGCTATTGGGCTATTAGTTTGTTGAACGAGTAAGGGGGGGGGGGGGTGGAGGGAAACAGTTCGCGAAGCAGGCAAATACTAGGCAAAAATCGGGTAGAACATGGGCTAAACATATGGACACAAATTGTCAACTCTGGCTTGTACTCACCGTGCGTGGAGCGCTTGTGGTCCTGGCTGGAGGGTGCCTGGGCCACGGAGGTCTGCGGGGCGGCGGGGGCGTGCAGCGTCTGCTGGCTGACGGGGGCGTGGGCGTTGGGGGCGTGCGCCGCGCCCTGGGGGGTGGACGACGGGGCGAGGTGCTCGGCGAGGTGCTCGGTGAAGCTGGCGGGCGACAGGTAGCCGCCCTGCGCCGCCCGGTCCTGCAGCGCCGCCTTGGCCTTCTCCACGGACTGCTTGAGCTGCTCGAACGTCGAGGTGTTGCACGCCAGCCGGTACCAGTCGGCCCCCGGGGCCACGGCCGCGGCCACGCCCGCCACCCCGACGCCCACGCCCGCCCCGGAGCAGTCCTCGCTCTTGATCATGGACGGACACGCCAGCCGCTCCAGGGCGGACTGGTACGAGCACGAGCTCTCGTACATGGCGGACCTGCAACACACTGT